CAAGTTCCTCTTGCTTCTAGAAAAGAGAGGGGATTTTGTGGGTTACAGAGAGACTCCTTGGCTGACTTTTTTCCCCTCTCTGCTGCCGATCAGTGCCTGGGATACACAGACTTCCACAGCAGTTATCACCATTGGGGTTTTTTGTTTGTTTGTTTGTTTTAAGTTTGTACCACAATAGACCTGGGACCCATCCCCTTGAGGGTAGTTCTTCGCTGACAGGCATCTTTCATCTGGGGCAGAGGATCGCTTGCTATCTAAGGTCAAATATTTCAGATGTTTGATAGACAGAATAAGCTATATAACTCACTCCACCCAGCATCTATCTCATTTTTCGCTAATAATGTTGAAAGTAGCTTTTGAAGGTCAGTGCTTTTCAACCTGGGGTAGAAGGCTCTAAAATGGAAAAATAGCACAAAGTTGTCAAAGAGCTTATCTCAGAAAGTGTTAAAATGAAAGCGCTTTTGTAGGAATTCAGTTTTATGTGAAAATGGTTTATTTCAGCGTAATCCCTAAATAAGAGTACAAGCGGAAGAATTTAGTCTTGCATTTAGGGCTTTATTGGCAGCCTGAAAAAGTCAGATTACTTTGTGAAAGCAGAAACTTCTCCTCTTTGAATGATACAGCACAAATTAAACATGGGCTGACTAGAACACAAAACATTACCTTCTAATTTAAAAGGCAATTCCTGTTTCAACAGCATGTTAAATAGTAAGTGAATTTTTTGAGTTACTTTACTGCTTCCATCTTTCCTTTTATTCATCCAATAAACGCTGCCGCGCTTTCTGACCTAACGTTAGGTGTATTTTGATTTGGCACAAAGCATGTACAATGATGGTTCCTCACCTGAGAAATAAGCAAAAACCTTTGGACACAAATGACACCTCCTTTTGTTTTGTAGTGTACCATGGTGTCATTTTCTGTGAATGTGGTCAGATCTTTTTGTTGGTTTTGGTTTGTTTCTCCCCCCGTCTTTTTTGTGGGGTGGGTAGGGTGGGGGGTTAAAGCCATAGGAAGAAAAATGTGATGTACGTGTCCAGTCTGTACTTTTTTGTTTTTGTTTTGCAAGAAGAGTTGAAAAATATTTTTGATAATGAGTAAATGGTGGAAAATGCTTCTTAGTATTCTTGTCTTTATTTGCCAACCCAAGTACCTAAGATCTGTGTTTTTTAGCCCTCATGAGATTTAATGATGTCCTATTAAAATGTATTTAGTTAAACTTGTATGTGATTTTTCTGTTGACCCAAAAGGATCCTACCATTTTCTAATTTGGTGGTTTGATCGTGACCTACTAATGTAAATCTGTTTATTAGTCCACTACGTGTAAGAAAAGTAGCCAAACCAGAGTCTGATTTAAGGGGAGTAAACTGCACAGCATGGGTTGTTTCTGAATGCTTTTGCAGAGCTGTTAAGTTTTGCTGAGATTGTTGATGGTACATTTATTAGGACTTTCATTAAATTAAATACATAGTACCTTCGCTCCAGAAACGTGGGAGTACTTGGAATCTTTACTATCTCACTGCTGCATTAAATATGGTACCAAAAGTCGGAGAATTTAGGTCAAGTGTGTTTTGGAACCGTCGACAGGAGAGCCCTGATCATTAATGTAAAATTGCAAATGGTAGATTCAGGTTGTTTCTAAAAACATTTCCTTTTATGCTGCCACGTTCTTGAAATGTATATTAAAATTCAAATTGATTTAATAAATGTTAGTTTTCTAATTCTATTTTGCAACTGCTAAGGGCATCAGTGTGGCATATGTTGAACTTCTTGTCTAAATACTACTTAGTCCGTTGATGACTAATTCTGTAATTGTTTAAATTAGGGTTGGCTTGGTTTGGTTTTCTTCACCTCCTGGCTAGTTGTTCTTGAATAAGCTGAGCAATGGAAAGGATCATAATGTTGCTGAAAATAATTGCAGTGGTTCTAGTTTGAAAAGCATCGGTTTCCATTTTGTAGCGATACGAGCAGCAATACTGTTCTGGGACCTTCCAGTGTTGGCTGTGGTCAAAGAGAGTTGAGTGAAAACTCAGTCCAGCGCAGCCCCCAGCGAGGACTTGCTCCCTGCTGGCTGTATGTGGGGAAGCGCTGACGCAGAGCAGTCGCAAGGATCGTTTTAGCTTAGCCCGGGCTGGGCTGGCGGGAGTTCCCCGGCTGCCGTCGACGAGGCGTTCCTCCTGTGGTGCGGTGGATTTGGGCAACTGTTCTCAGCGTTAGCATAGATGAAGCTGCTTGGGGATTTGTTTTCATATAGAAAGTGCCTGGTATTTCAGCTTTCTTCCCACTCCTCTTGAAGACAGTGATCAGCTTCCAAACTTTATTAAAATCCTGTAATTTGTAGAGCTGCATCAGAAAGAAAAAGCAGCAGTTCGTCAAATGTTTTGCAGGGGGAGTCTTCCTGCCTGAAAACATGTTGCAAAGATGGAAAGGAGAGAAGGGGTGGACTTTTGATCATGTGTAGTGGTACAAAATTAGTCTAGTGCTTTTGACCATCCAGATCTGAACATGTGGAAGATGCTCTTTCCAGAAAGAGAAGACATCTAAACTTTCATTTTGAGTGGAAAGGCTCTTTCCACCTATCATACATCAGTGAAATCACCGGTTGGGATAAAACCCTGGAGGGAGGAGGGACAGGGAAACAAAACTGGAAATGAACGCTTGGATTGCGTTGACCTTGCTGCTCTTCCAGCAGTTCATTCACGCAGGTGATGTTCTCGCTCTCTGGCTTGTCTAAGCCCACGCTGTAGTGCCTGTGAACAATGGGGTCACAACAGCCTCTTCTGTTTCCGTTGGAACTCCCTGCAGATGTTCTTGTACGTGCATGAGAGTTTTAAAACATCACAAACCAAGGAGGCAGGTAACAGATGTCTGTCTTGCGCAGCTGCTTCCGTTTGTGTTGCCATTACATCTTAGAGGCTGCCCCCCTGTAAGCGCCCTAAAGTTTTGTATTGTCAGAAAAAAACCTGTAGAGTTACAATGTACCAGCAGCCTGAAATAAAACCTGAAAAGCCTGCTTTCCAAGGCCGGTACTTCTGGCACAGCGAGGAGCTGCTTGTTCAATGAAACTCTGATAGACCTTCAAGGAAAGATCATACAGATGTGGCACATGAATCGTGCAAAGATTCTGGCATGATCCAGAATAAAAGCATCTTTTTACTGTATGCAAGAAGCACACACCCCCCGACATTTTTTATGTATTTAATTTTTATACAAATTATAAACAAGCTTTTGATTGCTAACTAACGTTCGGAGAAGTGAAACAACAAAAAAGAGGAGCTTGTACGTTAGACTCATTCCAGTTATGTGGCATGGCTGATGAAATTCGCTCTGAAAGCTATATAATGCTATTTAAAGTAGTACTGATTGATAATGTCGCAAGCACATCTTGTTTGTCTGGTCTTAAGTACTTAGTTTTTCAAATTGAAGTGCCTCTGGTATTTTAAAGAAACCCAGAGGTCCCCACCAAAAAGTGACTGTGCTACACACAGGTTTAGGCACAGGGGAATGCGGACCTGTCAGTCTCACAGATGAAGTAGTAAGATAATGCAGTGATTCTGCTTGAGCATTTGCATATAATGAAATCAGAAAAGGCATTACATTTTTTTCCCTTTTTTTTTTCCTTTTTTTTTAAAATTCATTCCACTTGCAGAAGATCCAGGGAGATGTTTGTTTTCATGCCAGTTTAAAATGAGGGAGCTTGGCATTTTGGTAAGTCAGCACACGGATAGCGCTCCGTGTTGAGGGATGAAGATGTGAGGAAGGTAAGTGGTAGGATTGCTTTTCTTCCCCAGTATTTTTGAGAAGAAAGCCTGGAATTTTGGCTTTGGCAGGCTTGCTGACAGGTAGCTGGATGGCATGAGCTTGGGACAGCAGCTGGAGATGAAGTGAACAATAACACTACTCCACCACTACAAGACAGGTTTTACTTTTTAGATTCAAAAGTCCTTTATTTGCCAAAAAAGAAGAAAATACAAAGTAAAAATACAAAGATAAAACCATGCCAGCACAAAATGTCTCCAAACTACTTTTACAAAGTACGAGAACCTTTATTATTAAATACTCAGTTTCTAAGACCATCACCCAGTGACACAGGGGAAAGATTAGAACAAAAGGGTAAGCACTGTTTACATGTTTTTCTTACAGTAGCTCATGCTCTTTATTGAGGTTCAGTTTTGATTGCATAGACCTAAGATGCTGCGATTTAGAAACACTTTACTCCAAAAATACATACCATTAAATGACACTTCAGTTACCTCTTTTTTTGGCCTTTCAGGCATATTTTGTTTCAGAAACTAAGCATAGTACCTTGGTTAGAGTATCTCGAGTCAGCTTTCTTAAATCCTTAGTTCAGGAGGGCAGGAAGGTTTTCCGCAGTGTTTTCTGTAAACCTGAGACACTGGAATTTCTTTTTGCTGTCCATGTCTGTTTTGCAACACTGCCGCTTGGTGGCAGACCGGCAGAAGGGGAACTATGTCAGTGCCTGGGTTTTGCTGATGAAAACTGTAATGTAGCAATTACTACTGAGAGTTTTAGAAGAAGGGCAAAAAAAAAAATCAAGCTAGTACCATTCCAGCAGTAATGGCATGTGGTTGTATCGAGCCATATCGCCAATCTTAGTACTGCAGAGAGAGAATATTTGTGAATATAAAAAGAAAAAGCAAGGTTTTTTTAAGGACACGGGACTTAATTTTGCTAGACAAAAGCAGACTAGAGAGAATAAACACAAAATTTTTTTTTGATCATGCAAAACTGCATTTTACTCACTTTTCTGACTACTCGTAAGGAAAAAGAAATCCAGCTCTTAATAGACTTCAGCCTGAGCTGGACTTATAAGGAAAAATGCATGCTCTGTTTTTCAAGGTATGCAACATCTAAAGTGGCATTGACAGTTGGAGACGGGAGGCAAAGTCAGAGCAAAGCGGACTGCTGCAAGTTTTCTGTGCTGTGATTCTTGGGTTGCTTCATTCTAGAGAGCTGGCCTCTGAAGCTGGTGTGTGTTGCAGCTGAGCAGGTTCTGGTATCTGTATTCACAAACATCCTTGTCATCTTATGTTTTCATTATCCCAGAAATAAAAGCTAAGAAGTAGGACAGGAGTTCCCAAGTTTACCTTGCTTATATACTGCATTTAGAAACCTTCCATCCAGAGAAGCTGCGGGCAGGGCTAAGTCACAAATGGGGTGTAGAATACCTCCTTTACTAATTCATCTGTGGCTGCTGAATTTTGATTCTTTTCAAATGTATTAGTGAGAGAGAATGGATTTCTACTCCTGGAGTAAATAGTATAAATTGCTGCAAGTTTTGCACTGCTAGCAGTGGCTTCTGTAGCTTGTCCTTATATTCACATATAAGGCAAAACATTTGCTCTAAGTTTGGTTGTTTTGGTTTTTTTTTTCTTTGATTAGCTTGTTGTGTTGACCTATTAGAAAGCATGAATTGGTTTGGACTTATGCTACTTTATCATAGCAGCGGCAAACCTCTGTTTATAGAAGAGAGGGCCTTGGGTTTGGGGGCCAAAGAGCTCAGCAGAGCAGCTATGAGCTTCTGTCTCAATTTATTGAAGCCAAACCTTGAAAAAGTAACTGGTGATTTTTACCAGGCTCAGAATACTGACTTCCTCAAGAAAAGGCACCAGTTCAGGCAGATTGGTGTGGTGTGAGATGGAAGTCTGAACTGATTTGATGGGTTGAGTTAAAGCCCCTCTGCAAAAAGCACATGAGGAGAAAAATGAAAGGTGCGTGAATAGGGAGAGCAGGAACAGCAGAAGTAGGCTCAAGGTACAACCTAGCACGAACAGAAATGCCAAGCCAAAAAAGCGATGCGCCAAGGGTTGCTGGAGTACCAGCTCTTCATAGTACATCATGGGCTGCGCCTGCATCCCAACACACATCTGGTGCTTGAGAACAGGGTGTCACTTGCTCAACTGGCGAGTCCTTGAGTCCTTCATCTAACTCCCTCCTTGGGTGAAAAAGAAACTGTGCATTCCTGGGAATATACATCCTTCCTGGAAAAGGATGTTACTCTGAACTCCCACAGGGAGGAGGAGGAGGAAATGTAATACTTAGAGAGGTTGTAGAATCACCATCTATGGAGATTTTTCAAAACTCAGCTGGATGAGGACCTGAGAAACTTGCTCTAACTTTGAAGCTGGCCTGCTTTTGAGTGAGGAGGTGGAATAGAGACCTACAGAGGTCCCTTCCAACCTGAATTATTACATTATTCTGTACAGTGCTAGGAAAGCTTCTTTTCTTGAAGGTGCCAGGGTATCCCAGGTTAAAACCTTAAAGAGACCATCACTAAGTTACTCTGGAATGAGACTTTACATAATTGACAAACTGGACTTTCCAGTACTGCTGCTTATGGAGTTAAAAGCTAGCAATGCTGAAGTAACACGAAAGTTCAATTTCAGTCTAGAATGGGGTCAGGTTCTTATTGTTCCTTTGAGGAATCTTTGCCTTTGGAGAGATGTAAAATTTTATCAAAGTAAAAGACCACTCTGGACCTAGATAGTGAACAAAAGAGGTGAACTGCTTTGCCTATGTTCTTTCAGGTAAGAAGTGGATGGAACTGGTTACAATTAGTGATTGTGTGACTTCCATCCTGTGTTAATTTCTGCAATCGTTTCCTAGTTTATTCTGTATTTGGGCCTTTGTGGAATCATCCCCAGTAAAGCTTTTCCCCTCAGGGTTATAGTGATGATGGAGATGCGATTCAAACACCCTGGTGTTGGACAGAGCCGCTCTTGTGTGCTTGCTGTGTTCATAGCGGCTTATCCTGGCTTGGTTAGAGTGCTCCCTGCTTACATCTCTTATTATGGAATGGAAGTTACCTTGCCCTTGCTAATAACCTGGGCATCCAGAAGTTTCCCAAATATCAAATCCAGGATCCTGGGGTCTGTATATGCCTCTGGATAAAACAGCAGCTTTGTTCAAGAAAAAGAGAATAAATCTCCAAGGCCAGTATAACTGAAAACTTCCTCTCTTTCAGATTTTCATCCTGAGGAGTTACTAACCTCAACAAGGCAGCAGTATATCCCACCTGGGCATCGGGAGGCAGCTGTTACACTTCAAAGGCTCCTGGAAAAGTTGAAGCTGCATTGTAGTGACCAGCCAATTACTTATTTGGTTATTAACAGTAGCACTTAAAGGTATCATCTAGGGATTAATGTTCCATTGTGCTAGCATCTATATGTACAAAATACACCAGGCTACCAGTGTGTGTGTGTATATACAAGTCACCTATGAAGTGGGTGGGTTCTGCTTTTAGTGCAGTCAAGGAGGTGCCTGCTTGGAGATCTGATCCTGGCATTGGCAGTTGTCTCCCAGGTATTCTGGCAGGAATTCACACAGGGATGTCCTGAGGAGGCATGGTTTGATATTCTTACAGTGAGGTAAGAGGAAATATAGTATATACATGCCCACCAAGCATTACATATTTGGGCACAATTACAATAGTTGAAATAAAATATGACAGCTGAAACCTGTCCCAAGCTGGAGAAGGTAAGTACCAGATCTGTTTGTGTGTCTACGATGGCTAAAATTGCGGACTGGTAAGAATATGTTATAATCACCTCTGCGCTGAATCACAGACAGCTACTAAGCAAGGAGGAACAGCTCTAGCAGCAGAGCATGTGCTATTACTAGAGACACCCGTTGTGATTCTATGGGGAAAGTCAGTTTAATTTTGCACTTAAAGCAAGAATTCATTAGTTAGTGTTTCCTCTCTGAGACTGGGGCCTACTTCATGGGTGGAAAACAAATTTTTGGCAATATTTCAGACTAATTCCTTTACCAGTTAAAGGATCCCTCTGTTAACAGAAATTCAGCAAACTAGGTTAGGATTGGGTTTTTTCTTCATTATCTCAGCTTAGCCTCTTGGAGAAGGCTACAGGTTAGCAATACAATAGAATGGAAGAACACAGGAAATGGGCAGAACTGGTGCACACAAGACACGGCAGTTTCAACACACCAGCTGAACAGCATATATGTCGTCTTTGGTAAATACGCTAGAAAATATTTCTACAGAGACAAAACACTAGCCTGAGGAAGATCATCTTACGCACAGGAGAATATGTAGAAATGTTAACTACATCTCAAATTCTTAGCGAAACATTACATCATGTGGTGCTTTAACTGTCCACAGATTCATACAAATAAAATATGTCCAGTATCAACTGTAAGAGCTTGTGGTTTAAAGCGCAAAAGGGGACTTCACTCTCCCCATGTGCAGGCATGTTGCCTTGGTTTCCAGGACACTAAGAAAAAAAGAGAACGTCATTGTGACTTGCATTTTAAAAGATTTCTAGACATACATTTAAATTAAGTTAATTTGGCAGCTCTTTTGTCACTCCTGGTATAAAGTCAAGGGGACAGAATGGCACAGGACTGAACTGACAGAGAAACGACCACTGTAGATGTTGCATGCAGTTGTTACAGTTAACCATTAGATGCTGGCATTTATTGCACATCTGGGGACATAACAGAATTTATATATAAACGAAACAAGGTGCAATCACCATTTTTAATGAGCGTGCACGATAACACATTGTAAAAAGCCTTTTTATAGAAATTACCTTATTGCAATTACACAGGAGGAGAAAAAGGGTTCTCAAGTTACAGTGTACAAAATAAAGCACATTGCTCCAATGACGGATTTAAGAAAAATTCCTAAATGTCTTGGGACTGAATGCTATCCAGTTTGAAAGATACTGATTAAATGTCTTCCATTTCTCTATGCTGAGAGATCTGAGATAACTAGTTTGTCTGACTTGTCTCCAGTTTCAGGGGGAGATAAGACTTCATCTGTGTCATAGTCGTCTTCAAATGATCTGCAAAGATAAAAGGTATGTCTTTAAAAGCCATATTTTGGTGAGAGCATTTTTGGGTAAGTTATTTCAGCGGCTACTAAAGCAGCTGGCTAAAATACAGGAGCATGCAAGATGTTAACCTCGAGGAGGATATTTATAAGGCATTGAAAACAGTGCTGTAGTAATCAGTATTCTGACAGCTGACAGAACTGTGCTCCCATCCATCCTCATTTGTAAGATCCAAAACAACTTTTCACTCATGTTCAGCATTATAAAATTTGAATCCAGTTTCAGTAACAATTGTCAGTAGCTCACAGTAGCCTTAATAGTTCAGTGCAGAAATGAAGTCATCCAGGCCCTAGAGGAGACTTGGCTTGCTCAGACTTGCTCAGAAACACCTGGTTTCCAAAGCGTCTTTGGCTTAGGAGATGTTTTGACAGCCACAGAACAATTATGGCCATGCTGTCATGTTCCTCTCTCACTTGGTTTGAAGTTTAATATCCAGGTGTTAGCATTTATGGCCTGGGGAGGTTTGGCTGTGAATTCTCAGCTCCAGCCAGTTGCACTATTCAGGCTGGTTGGGTTCTGTGCTCTGCAGCAGAGGATATCACTTTGGGGCTCTCAGCCCATTCCTATTCCTCAGAAATGACGTTTTTGAGATGTTCTCCCTTCAGTCTCGGCACACTACAGGTTAGTTTCTCAGGGCTCCCAAGAAATTCCAATTCTTCCTTTTGTTCTGAAAGCAATGCTGCTTATGAAGGAAATGTTGCAGCAGGTGTTCCAATGGCAAGCACAGGAATAGCTCTCGTTTGTTCAGTGATAAACTGAGCTGCAAAAAGGTTAACTCCTTTGATACCCCAGCACGGATGGTGCCAAGAAAGAATTGTCTACCGCTTCTTGTGCTGTTTTTCCCTTCACTAACCCATATGCAGGCACAGTGAATCCTTGGGAGCCTGTCAGTATGTAAGTCCAGCTGTGGGGAGGATTCTGTGCTATAGTCTGGTGATCCCTATGTGAAGAAGAGACAAACAGCACAGAGATCTTCCTGGACAACATTTTCATCTTCTCTTCCATAAAGGAAAGCACCTGTTTAGTAATTCTGCCACCTTCTGGATCCTTGCATAAGTGGGAGAAGGGAAACAATGGTCTGGATCCTACACCAATAACTGTTCTGATCATGCATGCAAGGATACCAGGAAGTATGCAATATGCACACTTTGCTTAAGCGGTACGTGTCGGGAGTCTGCATGGCCCATGCACATTTCTGTTAGCCTTCTTCCCTTTTCTCCTCTAAGTGGAATGTGACTTTTTTCCTCTATTGTTTATCTATCTTGCACATTCACCAGCACTTGGAGCTCCATTATAATTTTTTTTCCGGTGCCTTTTGCTTCTGGACTAAACCTTCTCATGCCTTCTTCAAAAGGGGCTTCCCATTGTCCTTTCCCATGTGAGTTACTTTTCCACTTCAGTCTTTTGCTCTTTAAGGCTCAACAGTGCCTGCCTTTCCCATCTTGGAAAAAATGCTTTCCACCTTCATGGCTAGGAAGCATCCAAGGGACAGCTTTTCCACGAGATTAGCACTAAAGACAATCACCTTCTCTCCTTCCAGGCCAGTTTCAAAACTTCACAGTCCCATAAATACACATATAGGCTCATGTAGACTAAACACCCATTCCTCAAGACTCAACCATTGCAACTCTAGCTTGTTCAGAGAAGACAAATTACTCCAGGAAATTCTTTGTCCTTCCTTCTGGCAAACACACACATTTTGTCACTGGGTGGTTCAGCGATATTCTCCTTCCCCCTTTCCCTTCCTTATGCTGCTGGGTTCATGAAAGTGAGCAACTGAACCATCAGCCAGCTTGAGGGAGAGAAGAAAAATGGTCTAAACTGCCTAAACCAACATCATCTGATCCTGTGTATTTGTCACACCTATCCACCTCTGAGCAGGATTGCTCTGCATTGTGCCCTTGCTCCTTGTTGCTCAGGTGAAGGGGATGCTTTCTTATCAGCAGCTGATAAAAGATGGCCTCTTCCTCCTTATTTCCCTTCCTACGGAGAAAGATCTCTTTCCATGAAGGCAATTGTGGCTTCCGTGTACATCAGCTGGCTGACACTGGTTTCTGGAACAGTGAACAAAGCAGTGCCCACTTCTGCCAGGCAGGCCAAAGCCTGGACTGCAAAAAAGGATTTCTGCAAAACCAATGCTTATAGCTGCATTAAGAGCTTGTGTTGGTCAGATTCAACTATTGGTTCTGCCTTCTAACAACAATGTGTGTATGCATTCATCAGGGAACAGACTCTTTTCATTGAATCTCATACACAGATAGATGTATAAAGCAGAGCATGGCTGAGAAGTGTTCAGATCAGCTTAAGCTTCCAGTGAAACATGATGCTTCTTGAGCAAGACAACACCTTTCTCTTATCTTATTTTTGGTCACTGTAGCTCTCAATAGAGTCACAGCATCCTTGAAGTCACTCTGAGTATCCACTATGTCTTTTTGAGATTCCTCTTCCAGGAGCAGTGCTCTCTCATGGGCAAGCCTGCAGCCAGCCAGCCAGACATTTGACTTGTTTTAGAAACCTTCCATCCAGAGAATCTATGGACAGGGCTAAGTCACAAATGTGGTACACACTAATTCATCTGCGATAGCTGAATGATGGTTATTTTCAAATGTATTAATAAGACAAATACCAGATTTCAGATTCTGCCAGCTAACTTAGCCAAAAATCTTCCAGTCTCTCATAGAGCTCATAAATTGTCTTGGTTTTGTCCCCGCTCCCTCTTTCTGTCATCCTCAAAGGACAGCAGAAATAATGTATGTGCAAAAACTCAATGCCTGTTTCTGGCAAATTTGTCTGGGCATCCAGCTCTTTGTTTTTCTTTTTGCCTTCCTTTTTTCCTTCGTGGTCTGTTGCTATGCTCCACAAATGAGATCTAATCCTGCTGCCATGACTACAGAGCTTTTCAGGGGCTCTTAAAAGCAAGCAGCAAGGTTGCTGACATGCTCTTTACAGGAAGACACAGAGCTGTTTCAGACAGACTTCAAAAATCTGACATCACCTGCCACTTTTCCTCTGTTTTTGGTGAGTTTTGGGATTCATAGTCCTGCAAAACTTTTATGGCAGACTCCTATTTCTTTTCTGTGCTGAGGACACAGGTGTTGCAAAGCAGTTGCAGGGAATACAGCAATTTTATCTTCCATCTTGTGTTACCTCATCTTCCATTGTGAAGGCCACAAAAAGGCAAGGCAGCTCAAAGGAGATGAGGGAAAAGCCCATAGCTGTTTGGATGCACATCACAGGGAGAGAGGGAAACATAGCTCTCAATAGCTTTGCAAATCTCTGTGGCTAATTAGTAGGTGCTACTGTTATCCCGAGCAATTTCCAGTGTGGGAAGTTTTGAAAATTATGCAATCTTCTCAGTACTCTTACTTTAATGGCTCTACAAATACTGTTCAAGAATGGATGAAATCCTGAATCGTGCAAGATTAACAGGGGGTAAGCATTCTGTGGATGTTTGTTATATTAACCTGGAGTCTTGCAGAGAAATAGTCTCAAGAAGATACTAACACAGACACAAATCTAAAAGATAATTATACTGAGTCTCCATTAGGAGCCTCTGCAGGAAGCCCTTGCACACAGAGAGGTTCTGGAGCAACTGCTCTGCCTAAATTCATTGACTCTTAAGGATAGCTGGAGTGTCTGTCCATAATTTTATAGAAGGCTGCAAAAATGAGTGTAGGTATTGCAGAAACCAACAGTGTTTTAAAGAAAAAGTCTCAACAAACTTAGTAAACAAATTAAGACATTGAAACACAGCTTATGAAGAGACTAATAGACATAAAGTTTGGCAGAAAGTAAAATTATTTGACTAAAGAAAGTCTCTGCTAGGTATAATAAATGCAACAGAGCTACAGCTTCTAATCTATGATAGTGTGACATGGTCAATACATGGCCAAGACTAGCAAAAGTCATTCGATCTCTTTTTTTGTATGGTTGCCAAAAGAAAAAGGCTTTGTCCTTTTTCCCCAGCTATCTTCATTACTGCAGTGTGTGTAGCTGATTCAAACAGCTGCCCGCAAAGAAGCCCATTGTGACAAATACACCAATACTGCCTTTTGGAGCAACTGTTTCAGGCTTCACATGCTCCAGTGTTGAGTCCAAATCATAAGTCCGCTAATCCACTACCTCTGTTAAAAGTGGCATCCACATGCTCCTACTAAACCTCAGCTGGAGCCAAACAGAGTGTCCCCAGGGCAGTGCAATGCCTATGCTTACCCTTCTTGTAACTGTTCATTCCCAGATTCCTCAGCCACAAGAATCTCGTACTCTTCAGCGGCATATCTGTCCCAGTCAGAGGGTTCAGGGCCGTCATTTTCAATGTCCTAAAGAGATCAGACAGTCAAGCACATTATGTCCATACCTCTCTACAGCTGTTTACAATAGGTCTAAACATGTGAAACAGCAATTCTAGGAATAGTAAGCAACTGTATAGAAACAGCTAGTCAAAAATTGCCTTAACTGAAAGATTCACAATTATCTTAAACTATTTTAACATCTGCACATAAATGACTAAGAAAAAATACATTCCTTAGTCTATAAAGCTCAGCGTGTGACCTGAGCCTGCTTCATTTCAGAAATGCTGAACATTATTAACTGCACATTTTCTTTGCTCTAGCTCAAGCAAGCCCCGCATCTGTGCACTTTGTCACTGGTTAAAGAACTTAATGATTTAAAATCTTTAATTAAATGTTAATTGTAACTGATCTTTTGAGGAACTCTTCATAGTTTGCTAAGTTTGGGCAAGTTTGAGAGAAGGTTACAGAATAACATCCTAATAAACATTTGGCCCTCTGCCATTTACTGTAAGACAGAGAAAATAAGTTATCCCCCCTGGCCCCACTTGACTGCTCTTATGATGATCCAGTTTAAATAAACAAACAAAAAAAAGGTAGGGTGGTTCTGGACTGGGATACATTTAAGCCTTGAATCATGGAACCACAGAGTTCCTCTTACAAGTTATGTGGGAACAGCTGGGAGGGAACCAGAGTTGCTTTTGGCATGCCCACCACTTTACTGTACTTTGACCAGATAAGAGGCTTCTGGGAGATAGTCTTTAAGCTGTAGACACATCTGGTTTCACTGAATGTGCAGGGGGAGCCAGGGGTGAGGCACTTTACACCAACAGCTGACAAAACTCAAGTCTCTGAACATCCCACAGTTAGTGGTGAGCAGCAACTGCAAAATACAAAAGCCACAATCTCCTCCTGTATTTTCTCTGCTTGGGAAGAGAGGATGGTGAATGACAGCGCAGCCAGGCTGATAACCAGGCACAATCTGCAATATCCAAACCTTCTATCTAGTCTACCGCATGTGTGGCCTGATCACGGAGTTGGCATCTCATCTGCCTTGGCCCCTGCATTGTAAAGGAGGTCTGTCTCTTTGGTTCTGTTTAGGCTATGGGAAAATTGCTAGTGCTGTTTTAAGGATCAGACTCCACCCGGATGTTTAATAAATCTTCACATGTAGCCTACTTATTTATGACTGCAGCTGTGTAGGAGACAGGAAGAGACAAATGGGATCTCAAGTTTAGAATCTCACAGCTCCTTTCTAAACTGAGCGAACCAGGTTCCCTTCTAGTACAGCTGAGCCCCCCTCTTTCAGCCTGCTGAATCAGTGCAACTCAGCAGGCTCCAGTCATTCTCTCTAGAATCACACACTGCACTGCCAGTGCTGGTGTAGTAGGATCAGTGATGGCAACTGAATCATAGAATAGCAGTATGATTTGTGTTGGAAGAGACCCAGGAGATCTTTAGTCCCAGCCACTGCTCAAATCAGGGTTTGCTATCAGGTCAGATCATGGGGCTCAAGGCTTTGTCCAGTCACACCTTGAAAACCTCCAAGAATAGAAGCTGCACAACCTCTCTGGGCAACCTGTTCCAGTGTTTGACCACCCTACTTGTAAAAAAGGTTTTCTTATATTC